CCCTCGTGGGAGTTCAGGTGCTTCTTCAGGTGGTTGGTCCGCCAAAAGAGCTTGTCGCACCTGGGGCACTTCTTCTGGCGCTCCCTGGAACGAGCGTTTCGCAGCGTCAATCTCTGCCCCGGCGCTGGCGTTGGGCGCGTCTGCCCTTCCCCCAACACTGCCACTGGCTGGCCCTGCCCCAGAACTCGAGTCCCTTTCCTGGGACTTCTGGGACGGCAGCTCCTATTCCAAATTATAGGCCAATTATATAGGCCAATTAGATAGGCCAATTAGATAGGCCAATACTGCCAAACAGCCAAATAGTTGACCAAAGAGTTTTTTCCAAATACAGGTCTTTCAGAGTGCTCCAGGCATGACAGACATTCGGACTGCCCGACTAGCCCAGCTGTGACTCTTAATCTGGGGGGTTGCGGGTTCGAGCCCCCACGTTGAGCGGTTCAGGTATTCTCATTATAAAGAAGGTCCCAGTTTGTCCTTGACCTCCTGACCCCCTCCCCCAATGGTATTTAATGCGACGTCATGATGGAAAAACTGATTCAGATACTACCGAAGGTCACCAGCGCTAGAGAACTCAATTCACTCCTGCCACTTAGTGTTTGAAAAAGACCTGAGTTTTGCACACGCCCTTGATGACTGTGTCACTCATTTAATTGAGGTTTCTGGTTCGTGTTGCTTTTAGGTAGGCTGTTTTGTTTTTCTAGGTTTCTTAATTATTTTTTTTTTTGCTGTGTGCGCCTGGTCAAAATCATTTTGTTTTTGTTTTTTTGTTACGTTTTCTTAAATAAAACCCTTTAAAAAAAATAAATAAAGCTCCCGGAACTGAACGAACTAAGAAATAAAAAGGGAATAATCAGAAGGACCGATTTGCAGGTGGGGTGTTAATCTACCCATTCCGGAGCTGCGATCTAGATGTTGCCTGTGCCTTTTCCCCCAGCCTGATTTAACGATTAATGAGCCGATCGAAGCTGTATTAATTAAAGGCTCTGGGGGGTTCACTCTATAAACCCCCGTCGCTGGAAAGGAACAAGATTTATTCCA